GTGACATGTAGCACTCTGTCTCTCACCATCCTAGTGTGTCACTACACTGCTGATGTTACTACTATTGACATGTACACTCTGTCATCTCACTCCCCTCCTAGTGTGTCACTACAACTGCTGATTGTTACTAACTAGTGACATGTACACTCTGTCTCTCACTCCTCCTAGTGTGTCACTACACTGCTGATGTTACTAACTAGTGACATGTACACTCTGTCATCTCACAGCCTTATCCTAGTGTGTCACTACACTGCTGATGTTACTAACTAGTGACATGTACACTCTGTCTCATCGACTCCTAGTGTGTCACAGCTACACTGCTGATTGTTACTAACTAGTGACATGTACACTCTGTCTCTCACTCCCTCTCTAGTGTGTTCACCACACTGCTGATGTTACTAACTAGTGGACATTGTACACTCTGTCTCTCACTCCCCTCTAGTGTAGTCACTACACTGCTGCTGTTACTAACTAGGACATGTACACTCTGTCTCTCACCTCCTAGTGTGTCACTACACTGCTGATGTTACTAACTAGTGGACATGTACACTCTGTCTCTCACTCCCCTCTCCCTAGTGTGTCACTACAATGCTGGCTGTTACTAACTAGTGACATGTACCACTCTGTCTCTCACTCCTCCTAGTGTGTCACCTACACTGCTGATGTTACTAACTAGTGACATGTACACTCTGTCTCTCACTCCTAGTGTGTCACTACAACTGCTGATGTTACTAACTAGTGACATGTACACTCTGTCTCTCACTCCCCTCTAGTGTGTCACTACACTGCTGATGTTACTAACTAGTGACATGTACACTCTGTCTCTCACTCCATAGTGTGTGTCACTACACTGCTGATGTTACTAACTAGTGACATGTACACTCTGTCTCTCACTCCCTCTCCTAGTGTGTCACTACACTGCTGATGTTAATAACTAGTGACATGTACACTCTGTCTCTCACTCCCCTCCTAGTGTGTCACTACACTGCTGATGTTACTAACTAGTGACATGTACACTCTGTCTCTCACTCCTCTCCTAGTGTGTCGCTACACTGCTGATGTTACTAACTAGTGACATGTACACTCTGTCTCTCACTCCCCTCTCCTAGTGTGTCACTACACTGCTGATGTTACTAACTAGTGACATGTACACTCTGTCTCTCACTCCTAGTGTGTCACTACACTGCTGATGTTACTAACTAGTGACATGTACACTCTGTCTCTCACTCCTAGTGTGTCACCACACTGCTGATGTTACTAACTAGTGACATGTACACTCTGTCTCTCACTCCTAGTGTGTCACTACACTGCTGATGTTACTAACTAGTGACATGTACACTCTGTCTCTCACTCCCTCTCCTAGTGTGTCACTACACTGCTGATGTTACTAACTAGTGACATGTACACTCTGTCTCTCACTCCTCTCCTAGTGTGTCACTACACTGCTGATGTTACTAACTAGTGACATGTACACTCTGTCTCTCACTCCCCTCCTAGTGTGTCACTACACTGCTGATGTTACTAACTAGTGACATGTACACTCTGTCTCTCACTCCTAGTGTGTCACTACACTGCTGATGTTACTAACTAGTGACATGTACACTCTGTCTCTCACTCCCCTCCTAGTGTGTCACTACACTGCTGATGTTACTAACTAGTGACATGTACACTCTGTCTCTCACTCCTCCTAGTGTGTCACTACACTGCTGATGTTACTAACTAGTGACATGTACACTCTGTCTCTCACTCCTAGTGTGTCACTACACTGCTGATGTTACTAACTAGTGACATGTACACTCTGTCTCTCACTCCTCCTAGTGTGTCACTACACTGCTGATGTTACTAACTAGTGACATGTACACTCTGTCTCTCACTCCTAGGTGTCCACGAACACTGCTGATGTTTCTAACTAGTGACATGTACACTCTGTCTCTCAGATCCCTCTCCTAGTTGCTGTCAGCCACACTGCTGATGGTACTAACTTAGTTGACATGTACCACTCTGGCACTCACTCCCTCTCCTAGTGTGTCCTACTACACTGCTGTGATGTTACTAACTAGTGACATGTACACTGTCCTCTCTCACTCCCCTCCTTAGTGTGTCACTACACTGCTGATGTTACTAACTAGGACATGTACACTCTGTCATCTCACCCTCCATCTCCTAGTGTGTCACTACACTGCTGATGTTACGTAACTAGTGGACATGTACACTCCTGTCTCTCAAGTTCCCTCTCCTAGTGTGTCACTACACTGCTGATGTTCTAACTAGTGACATGTACACTCTGTCCTCTCCTCCTCCTAGGTGTGTCCACTACACTGCTTATGTACTCAACTAGTGACATGATACACTCTGTCTCTCACTCCCTCTCCTAGTGCGTCACCACACTGCTGATGTTACTAACTAGTGACATGTACACTCTGTCTCTCACTCCCCTCCTAGTGTGTCACTACACTGCTGATGTTACTAACTAGTGACATGTACACTCTGTCTCTCACTCCTAGTGTGTCACTACACTGCTGATGTTACTAACTAGTGACATGTACACTCTGTCTCTCACTCCTAGTGTGTCACCACACTGCTGATGTTACTAACTAGTGACATGTACACTCTGTCTCTCACTCCCTCTCCTAGTGTGTCACCACACTGCTGATGTTACTAACTAGTGACATGTACACTCTGTCACTCACTCCCTCTCCTAGTGTGTCACTACACTGCTGATGTTACTAACTAGTGACATGTACACTGTCTCTCACTCCCCTCCTAGTGTGTCACTACACTGCTGATGTTACTAACTAGTGACATGTACACTCTGTCACTCACTCCCTCTCCTAGTGTGTCACTACACTGCTGATGTTAGTAACTAGTGACATGTACACTCTGTCTCTCACTCCCTCTCCTAGTGTGTCACCACACTGCTGATGTTACTAACTAGTGACATGTACACTCTGTCTCTCACTCCTCCTAGTGTGTCACTACACTGCTGATGATACTAACTAGTGACATGTACACTCTGTCTCTCACTCCCCTCCTAGTGTGTCACTACACTGCTGATGTTACTAACTAGTGACATGTACACTCTGTCTCTCACTCCTAGTGTGTCACTACACTGCTGATGTTACTAACTAGTGACATGTACACTCTGTCTCTCACTCCCCTCCTAGTGTGTCACTACACTGCTGATGTTACTAACTAGTGACATGTACACTCTGTCTCTCACTCCTCCTAGTGTGTCACTACACTGCTGATGATACTAACTAGTGACATGTACACTCTGTCTCTCACTCCCCTCCTAGTGTGTCACTACACTGCTGATGTTACTAACTAGTGACATGTACACTCTGTCTCTCACTCCCTCTCCTAGTGTGTCACTACACTGCTGATGTTACTAACTAGTGACATGTACACTCTGTCTCTCACTCCCTCTCCTAGTGTGTCACCACACTGCTGATGTTACTAACTAGTGACATGTACACTCTGTCTCTCACTCCCTCTCCTAGTGTGTCACTACACTGCTGATGTTACTAACTAGTGACATGTACACTCTGTCTGTCACTCCCCTCCTAGTGTGTCACTACACTGCTGATGTTACTAACTAGTGACATGTACACTCTGTCTCTCACTCCTAGTGTGTCACTACACTGCTGATGTTACTAACTAGTGACATGTACACTCTGTCTCATCACTCCTAGTGTGTCACCACACTGCTGATGTTACTAACTAGTGACATGTACACTCTGTCACTCACTCCTCCTAGTGTGTCACTACACTGCTGATGTTACTAACTAGTGACATGTACACTCTGTCTCTCACTCCTCCTCCTAGTGTGTCACTACACTGCTGATGTTACTAACTAGTGACATGTACACTCTGTCTCTCACTCCTAGTGTGTCACTACACTGCTGATGTTACTAACTAGTGACATGTACACTCTGTCTCTCACTCCTAGTGTGTCACTACACTGCTGATGTTACTAACTAGTGACATGTACACTCTGTCTCTCACTCCCTCTCCTAGTGTGTCACCACACTGCTGATGTTACTAACTAGTGACATGTACACTCTGTCTCTCACTCCCTCTCCTAGTGTGTCACTACACTGCTGATGTTACTAACTAGTGACATGTACAATTTGTCTCTCACTCCACCTAGTGTGTCACTACACTGCTGATGTTACTAACTAGAGACATGTACAATCTGTCTCTCACTCCTCCTAGTGTGTCACTACACTGCTGATGTTACTAACTAGTGACATGTACACTCTGTCTCTCACTCCCTCTCCTAGTGTGTCACTACACTGCTGATGTTACTATCTAGAGACATGTACAATCTGTCTCTCACTCCTAGTGTGTCACCACACTGCTGATGTTACTAACTAGTGACATGTACACTCTGTCTCTCACTCCCTCTCCTAGTGTGTCACTACACTGCTGATGTTACTAACTAGTGACATGTACACTCTGTCTCTCACTCCCCTCCTAGTGTGTCACCACACTGCTGATGTTACTAACTAGTGACATGTACACTCTGTCTCTCACTCCTAGTGTGTCACTACACTGCTGATGTTACTAACTAGTGACATGTACACTCTGTCTCTCACTCCCTCTCCTAGTGTGTCACCACACTGCTGATGTTACTAACTAGTGACATGTACACTCTGTCTCTCACTCCCTCTCCTAGTGTGTCACTACACTGCTGATGTTACTAACTAGTGACATGTACAATTTGTCTCTCACTCCACCTAGTGTGTCACTACACTGCTGATGTTACTAACTAGAGACATGTACAATCTGTCTCTCACTCCTAGTGTGTCACTACACTGCTGATGTTACTAACTAGTGACATGTACACTCTGTCTCTCACTCCCTCTCCTAGTGTGTCACTACACTGCTGATGTTACTATCTAGAGACATGTACAATCTGTCTCTCACTCCTAGTGTGTCACCACACTGCTGATGTTACTAACTAGTGACATGTACACTCTGTCTCTCACTCCCTCTCCTAGTGTGTCACCACACTGCTGATGTTACTAACTAGTGACATGTACACGCTCATCAACTACGTGGGCTTCATCAACTATCTCTTCTACGGCGTGACTGTGGCTGGCCAGCTGGTGCTGCGGTGGCGGAAGCCGAAGCTCCACCGACCCATCAAGGTCGACCCGGCCACCAGCCTGACACGGCCACTGTGTGTGTGTGTGTCTGTGTGTGTGTCTGTGTGTGTGTCTCTGGGTGTGTCTGTGTGTGTGTGTGTCTCTGTGTGTGTGTCTGTGTGTGTATCTCTGCGTGTGTGTCTCTGTGTGTGTGTGTGTCTCTGTGTGTGTGTCTGTGTGTGTATCTTTGCGTGTGTGTCTGTGTGTGTGTGTGTCTCTGTGTGTGTGTATGTGTGTGTATCTCTGTGTGTGTGTGTGTCTCCGTGTCTGTGTGTCTCTCTGCGTGTGTATCTGTGTGTGTGTGTCTGTGTGTGTATCTCTGTGTGTCTGTGTGTATGTCTCTGTGTGTGTGTGTGTGTCTGTGTGTGTATCTCTGTGTGTGTATCTCTGTGTGTGTATCTCTGTGTGTGTATCTGTGTGTGTATCTTTGTGTGTGTATCTCTGTGTGTGTATCTCTGTGTGTCTCTGTGTGTGTATCTCTGTGTGTGTATCTTTGTGCGTGTATCTCTGTGTGTATCTGTGTCTGTGTGTATCTCTGTGTGTGTATCTCTGTGTGTGTATCTGTATGTCTGTGTGTGTATCTCTGTGTGTGTCTGTGTGTCTGTATCTCTGTGTGTATCTGTGTGTCTGTATCTCTGTGTGTGTATCTGTGTGTGTGTATCTCTGTGTGTCTCTCTGTGTATATCTCTGTGTGTCTGTGTGTGTATCTCTGTGTATGTCTGTGTGTGTATCTCTGTGTGTGTATCTCTGTGTGTCTCTCTGTGTGTGTCTCTCTGTGTGTGTATCTCTGTGTGTATCTCTGTGTATCTGTGTGTGTATCTCTGTGTGTGTATCTGTGTGTGTCTCTGTGTGTATCTCTGTGTTATATACTTAATTCGCGGTTTAGTGGTAATTAAGTCAGTCAGTCGACCCGTGGCACCTGGGTCTGCCCCGTGACCTCCTGCCAGCGGGCGTTCGACACTTCACGTGGCCTCAGGGTGCACATAGCCTGGCACAAGCGTCGTGGTGACGTCACCGCCACTTAGTGGTGAATGGCGGTTGTTGTTGTTGTATCTTTGTGTGTGTCTCTCTGTGTGTGTATCTGTGTGTGTGTGTCTGTGTGTGTGTGTGTATCTCTGTGTGTGTCTGTGTGTGTCTGTATCTGTGTGTGTGTCTGTGTGTGTCTGTATCTCTGTGTATCTCTGTGTGTGTCTGTGTGTGTCTGTGTCTCTGTGTGTGTCTGTGTGTGTCTGTATCTCTGTGTGTGTCTGTGTGGGTCTGTGTGTGTCTGTGTGTGTCTGTATCTCTGTGTGTCTGTGTGTGTCTGTATGTGTCTGTATGTGTCTGTGTGTGTCGGACGGGCAACTCTGTCGTGGACAGTGCTGTGGGGGGAGATCCAATTTTGATTGGCTCCTCCCCTCATGGCATATGTGTCCACCACAGGGGCTAAACGGGGGCTCTGGACGGGTGCGAGGGGCTGGTAACCCCTCCACCTTCAATTAATTACCACGAAACCACGAGTTAAACTGAAATATGTAACTAATAAGCTTGTGCCGGAGGCCCCGGGGGGCCAGGCATCTATGACGTCTCCTGGCCAAACCCCAGTTGGCGGAGCCAGGAGATTGAATATCTACCCTCGGGGCTCCTCCAGAAACAAAGAAAAGCCACTACGGGTGGCCATGTGGAATGTTCGAACGCTCACTGCGGAGGAGAGGCTGCCACTCCTCTGTCGGGAGCTGGACCGGTACCGCCTGGATCTCTGTGGCATTCAGGAGGTCCGGTGGACCGGCTCTGGCTCCTTCCACCATGAGGGGTGGACAGTCCTCTACTCGGGGAAGCAGACTGCCAAACAACAGGGTGTGGCTCTTCTTTTGAACAAAAGAATGAAGGGGGCGTGGGAGCGTGGCGGTGAGGTGTGGGAAGCTGTAAGCCCCAGTCTACTTTGGGCTCGCCTTCCCATGAACCGGTGGCGAGGAATGGTGGTTGTGGTTACTTATGCCCCCACCGAAGATGAACATCCGTGGAGGGATGCAGGCAAAGCCGATGAGTCAGATGCCTTCTATGACCTCCTGTCACAGGTGCTGGCTAAAGTGGCCCCTCGGGATAGAGTCATCATGTTGGGTGACTTCAATGCCCGAGTTGGTCATGATACTGGCACCTGGTCTGGAGTGATTGGAGGGCATGGGCCAGATCAGCTCAATAACAACGGTAGGAGGCTGCTAGATTTTTGTGCAGCCCATGGGCTTGTAATTACCAACACGCTGTTCCGGCATCGGCGCATCCACACAACATCATGGATGCATGCCGGGTCCAAGCAAGAACATCTGCTGGACTACATAGTGACGGACCAGCGGATGCGAGCCCATGTCCTTGACACCAGGACCTACCGTGGAGCTGATCTGCCCTCTGACCATCGACTAGTCACTTGTAAGATGCGCCTGCCATTCTTCCACTCCGGTGGTGGGTGGACACCCAGGACCCCATTCCAACCTAAAGTGACCTGGTCTCAGTTATCTGATGAAAGTTGCAAGCGAGAATTTCATCATCGCTTGCGGCTGGGATTGGCATCGTCCCCGACTCCTCCTGATGTCGAGGGTAAATGGGCGAGGTTTAGGACTGTGACTCATGCAGCTGCAATGGCTGCTTTGGGTACGCGGTCCAGACCTCCCCAGAGACCCTGGCTGACAGAGGAGGTGTTCAGGATGGTTGAGAAAAAGCGACAGGCCCACTGTCATCGGCTATAGCCTCCCACGTCAGAGAATGAGGAGGCTTACCGCAGCCTTCGCTCGGAGGTTCGGAGAGCCGTGAGGCGCTGCAAGGATGGGTGGTGGTCGCGGGTTGCTGAGGAGATGGAGTCTGCCTCAGTGGCCCGTGATGACAAATCTCTATTTAACTCCATCAAAAAAGTATCCTGCAGCGCCACACCTATTACCATCATTAGGGGAAAAAACGGTGATCCAATCTCCGACCCCCAGGAACAGGTTTGCAGATTTGCTGAGCATTTCTGTGAGGTCCTGGGGGAGGGAAAATCCCTCAGCCAGGAAAACATCGTGGCACAAAGTGAGGATGACCCTACTGAGGCTGCGGTGCCTCAAATATTGGAAGAAGTCACCCCCTGTGAGTGGCTGGCTGAGGTGCCATCTGTTGAGAAAGTACTGAAGGCGATCCGGAGTCTGAGACCAGGAAAGGCAGCGGGCAGAGATGATCTCCCAAGCGAAATGCTTAGGGAGGGTGGCGTTTGTGCACAGACTGCCCTATATGACATCATAACAACGGTCTGGACCACTGGATGGGTTCCGCAGGATTGGAAGGATGCCCTGGTGGTCCCCCTTTTTACGAAGGGGGACCGCACAGACTGTAACAACTACAGGGGCATCTCACTCCTCAGTGTGCCGGGAAAGGTCCTGGCAAGGATTATTCAGCATTGCCTTGCCAGGCATGCTGAGGAGAGGCTTGCGGAGCCCCAATGCGGTTTCAGGAAAGGGCGGTCCTGCACAGATGCCATATTTTCTGTCTGTCTGCTACAGCAGAGGTGTAGGGAATTCCAACAAGACCTACATCTCTGCTTTATTGACCTGGTCAAGGCCTATGATACCATCAGTAGGCCTGGGCTCTGGGTTGTTCTTCGTGCTTTTGGAGTACCTGACCCTCTGCTCACGATCATTAAGGACCTTCATGATGGTGAGCGGGCCCGGGTAAAACTACGTGGCCGGGAGTCAGAGCCATTCCCTGTTAACCTTGGGGTGCAACAGGGATGTTCTCTGGCTCCCACATTATTTAACATCTATTTTGACGACGTAGTTCGTGAAGCCTTCAATAGCTGTACCGGGGGAATCTCCATATGGTACAGATATAATGGGAGGCTGATCGATGCCCGGGTGCTGTCAAGGGATGGCTCCCTATTGCTCAACCACGTTATGTATGCTGATGATTTGGTAATAGCTGCTCAGTCAGAGGAGGAGTTGGAGACGCTGCTGCTGAGACTGGAGCGTGCCACTAAGAGGTGGGGCCTTACCATCAGCCCCACCAAAACTAAGCACCTGCCTGGGTATTTTGTACCATCGGACACTCCACCCCCACAACTCCCAATCGGTGATGGGGTAGTTGTGGAGAGAGTGGAGAGTTTCCCATACCTGGGCAGTGTGCTTATGACTGGCTCCAGTTTAACAGCAGAGGTCTCACTCCGAATCAGTAGAGCGGCAATATCTTTTCATCGGTTGCGTAACGCTGTGTGGAAGCTACCTAGTCTGTCGCTCTGCACTAAGCTTCAAGTCTTCTCGGCCACGGTCATTCCCTCCCTTCTCTATGCTTGCGAAACGTGGACCCCCCTAATGGAACATCTTCGCCGGTTAGAAACATTTAGGCTGGCCTGCCTACGATCCATCCTGGGTTTAACCAGACTGGATTGTGTGAGGAGCTCACAAATCCTTGAAAGATCTGGGCAAGGTCCCATCGGTGAGCTCCTCCAGTTGGCAAGGCTGCGATGGCTGGGTCATTTAGCCCGCATGCCCAGCCACCGCATGCCGAAACAGCTTTTGTTCGGCCGGATTGAGGGGGCTAAGCGGGCGCAGCACGGGCTAGAGAAGATATGGAGTGATGTGGTGCAGGAGGACGTGGAGCTGAGTGGACTTGCCGATGACTGGTACCAGCGATGTCAAGATCGGCCTCTGTGGAGGAGGCTCGTGAAGGACGCTACTGGGCAGTTGGAGGTAGTCGCCCTCCAACAACAACGGAGGGCGGAGGAGCGACGCTCAGAACAACGAGCGGAGCGCCGGGTGGCTAAAGCACAGCAGGTTGGCACAGTAGGGGGCACAGGTGGTGCACCAGCCAGTCATCTCAGTCAGTCGACCCGTGGCACCTGGGTCTGCCCCGTGACCTCCTGCCAGCGAGCGTTTGACACTTCACGTGGCCTCAGGGTGCACATAGCCTGGCACAAGCGTCGTGGTGACGTCACCGCCACTTAGTGGTGAATGGCGGTTGTTGTTGTATCTCTGTGTGTGTGTCTCTGTGTGTGTATCTCTGTGTGTGTATCTGTGTGTGTCTGTGTCTCTGTGTGTGTCTCTGTGTGTGTCTGTATCTCTGTGTATCTCTGTGTGTGTCTGTGTGTGTCTGTATCTCTGTGCGTGTCTGTGTGTGTCTGTGTGTGTCTGTATCTCTGTGTGTATTCATGTGTGTGTCTGTGTGTGTCTGTGTGTCCGTATCTTTGTGTGTATCTCTGTGTGTGTCTGTGTGTATCTGTGTGTGTGTGTCCGTATCTCTGTGTGTATCTCTGTGTGTGTCTGTGTGTGTCTGTATCTCTGTGTGTATCTCTGTGCGTGTGTGTCTGTGTGTGTCTGTATCTCTGTGTGTGTCTCTGTGTGTGTGTGCCTACAGATCAGCCTGGCCTTCCCCATCATCTACCTCCTCTTCTGGGCCTTCCTGCTCATCTTCAGCCTCATCTCGGAGCCAGTCGTGTGCGGCATGGGGCTCGCCATCATGTTGACGGGCGTGCCGGTCTACTACGCAGGGGTGCACTGGCAGACCAAGCCACGCACGTTCGAGGCCTTCGTGGGTGAGTGGCTCCACACCGATTCTCTCTCTCTCTCTCTGTGTGTCTCTCTCTGTGTGTGTGTGTGTCTGTGTGTGTGTGTGTCTGTGTGTGTGTGTCTGTGTGTGTGTGTGTCTGTGTGTGTCTGTGTGTGTGTGTCTGTGTGTGTGTGTCTCTCTCTGTGTGTGTGTCTCTGTGTGTGTGTGTATCTTTGTCTTTGTGTCTCTCTCTTTGTGTGTGTGTCTGTGTGTGTCTCTCTTTGTGTGTGTGTCTGTGTGTGTGTCTGTGTGTGTGTGTCTCTCTGTGTGTGTGTCTATGTGTGTGTGTGTCTCTGTGTGTGTCTGTGTGTCTGTGTGTGTCTCTCTTTGTGTGTGTGTGTATCTCTGTGTGTGTCTGTGTGTGTCTCTCTCTGTGTGTGTCTCTCTGTGTGTGTGTCTGTGTGTGTGTCTCTCTCTCTGTGTGTCTGTGTGTGTGTCTGTGTGTGTATCTGTGTGTGTGTCTGTGTGTGTGTGTCTGTGTGTGTGTCTGTGTGTGTATCTGTGTGTGTGTCTGTGTGTGTGTCTGTGTGTGTGTGTCTCTCTCTGTGTGTGTGTGTCTCTGTGTGTGTCTGTGTGTGTGTCTGTGTGTGTGTCTCTCTCTCTCTCTGTGTGTGTGTATGTGTGTGTCTCTCTTTGTCTGTGTGTGTCTCTCCGTGTGTGTCTGTGTGTGTGTGTCTGTGTGTGTCTCTCTCTGTGTGTGTCTGTGTGTGTGTGTCTGTGTGTGTCTCTCTCTCTGTGTGTCTGTGTGTGTGTGTGTCTGTGTGTGTCTCTCTCTGTGTGTGTCTGTGTGTGTGTCTGTGTGTGTGTCTCTCTTTGTGTGTGTCTGTGTGTGTGTCTGTGTGTGTGTCTCTCTGTGTGTGTGTCTGTGTGTGTGTGTGTCTCTCTCTGTGTGTGTCTGTGTGTCTCTCTGTGTGTGTGTGTGTCTCTCTGTGTGTGTCTGTGTGTGTGTGTCTGTGTGTGTCTCTCTGTGGGTGTGTGTGTGTCTGTGTGTGTGTCTCTCTGTGTGTGTCTCTCTCTGTGTGTGTCTGTGTGTGTGTGTCTGTGTGTCTCTCTCTGTGTGTGTGTGTCTGTGTGTGTCTCTCTCTGTGTGTGTGTGTCTGTGTGTGTCTCTCTTTGTGTGTGTGTGTATCTCTGTGTGTGTCTGTGTGTGTCTCTCTCTGTGTGTGTCTCTCTCTGTGTGTGTGTCTCTGTGTGTGTCTGTGTGTCTGTGTGTGTGTGTCTCTCTCTCTGTGTGTGTGTGTGTCTGTGTGTGTCTCTCTTTGTCTGTGTGTGTCTCTCTGTGTGTGTCTGTGTGTGTGTGTCTGTGTGTGTCTCTCTCTGTGTGTGACCTCGTGGTGGGGGCAGAGGTGGGCGGCCAGTGTGGGGGGCGGTGGTGGGGGTGGTGGAGGGGGGGGTGGTGGGGGGGGTGGTGGTGGTGGGGGTAGGGGTGGTGGTGGTGGTGGGGGTGGTGGTGGGGGTGTTGGTTGTGGGGGGTTGTTGTAGGGGGTTGGGGGTGGTGGCAGTGGTGGTGGTGGGAGGTGGTGCCGGTGGGGGTTGTGGTGGTGGTGGGGGGTGGGGGTGGTGGTGGTGCTGGTGGGGGTTGTGGTGGTGGTGGTGGGGGGGTGGGGGTGGTGGTGGGGGTGGTGGGGGGTTGGTGGTGGTGGGGGGGGGGTGGTGGGGGGGTGGTGCTGGTGGTGGGGGGGGTGGGTGATGGTGGGGGGGTGAGAACATCACGGGGAAAAGTTTGGGGTGTGGGCGGCTGACCCTGCTGAGGCTGCGTTGGCTCAAATATCGGAGGAGGTAGTCAACACCCCCCCCCCCCGCCCCCCCCCCCCCCCGCTCCTCTGTGAGCGGCTGGCCGAGTTGCCATCTGGTGAAGGCGATCCGGAGTTTGAGACCAGGAAAAGGCACCGGGCAGAGATGATTTCCCAAGCGACACTCTGAGAGAGGGTGGCGTTTGTGCACAGACTGCCCTACGTGGCAGTTGTTGTTGCGTGTGTGTGTGTCTAAACCAATCCTGGGCCTCCCCCAAGTCAATTCAGCCTCAAATGAGTACCTGGTGCAGTGTGTAAAACATCGCCACTGGGGGAGACAAAGGCGGCCGGGCCTGGTGCTGGCCACCCACCCCCTCGTGTGCCACAGTGCCGGCCTTCATTGGTGCTACTCGCTAACAGCCCTTGCCCCAGCAGTCTGTTAGAGCCTACACGGCGGATCTTTGTCTTTGTGTGCGTGCAGAGTGGATGACGTTCAACGCACAGAAGCTGAGCGTGGTGGTTTACCCGCAAGAGACGGCACGGAAGGAGGTGGGTGACGGTGGTAACGGCAGTGGTGACAGCGGTGGTGACGGTCGTGACGGTGATGACGACGACCCGAAGCGACGCTCTCCGATTTACAAGCCGGGAGTGAGAGCAAGCGTCAAACAGGAGCTGTGACGAGCACCAGCGGACACACCGCCAGCAGGCAACCGCCGACTGGCAACAGACAACCGCCAACAGGCAACCGCCAACTGCCAACAGACAACCGCCAACTGTCGACCACCAACAAACAGCCACCAACTGTCAACCGCCAGCTGTCAACCACCAACAGACAACCGCCAACTGCCAACAGACAACTTCCAACAGACAACCGCCAGCAGGCAACCGCCAACTGCCAACAGACAACCACCAACAAATAACCACCAACTGTCAACCGCCAACTGTCAACCACCAACAGACAACCGCCAACTGCCAACAGACAACCGCCAACAGACAACCGCCAGCAGGGAACTGCCAACCACCAACAGACAACCGCCCACTTTCAACGACTAACATACAACCGACAACTTTCAACCACCAACAGGCAACTGCCAACAGACAACCGCCAATTTCCAGCAGACAACAGACAGCTGTCAACTGCCAACAGACAACCGCTAACTTCCAACAAACAACCCCCAACAGGCAACCGCCAACAGGCAACCGCCAACTGTCAACCGCCAACAGACAACGGCTAACTTCCAACAGACAACCGCCAACTGCCAACCGCCAACAGACAACCGCCAACTACCAGCAGACAACAGACAACTGTGAACCGCCAAATGCCAACAGACAACCGCCAATTTCCAGCAGACAACAGACAGCTGTCAACTGCCAACAGACAACCGCCAACCACCAACAGACAACCGCCAACCACCAACAGACAACCGCCAACTTCCAGCAGACAACAGACAACTCTCAACTGCCAACAGACAACCGCCAACAACCAGCAGACAACCGCCAACCACCAACAGAAAACCGCCAACCACCAACAGACAACCGCCAACTTCCAGCAGACAACCGCCAATGAGCAAACCACCAAACACCAAGCGCCAGCAGACAACCACCAACTGACAAATGTCAACTCAAGAAGTCACTCAACGACTCACCGAATTCACTCACGCACCCATTCACTCACCCATTCACCCAACCACTCACCCATTCACTCACCCACCCACTCACACAACCACTCACCGATTCACTCACCCACACACACATTCAGTCACCCATTCACTCAACCACCCACTCACCCATTCACTCACCCACTCACCCACCCACTCATCCATTCACTCATGCACCCATTCACTCACCCACTCACCCATTAACTCACCAAACGACTCACCCATTCACTCACCCACCCACTCAACCATGCACTCACCCACTCACCCATTAACTCACCCAACGACTCACCCATTCACTCACCCACCCACTCACCCACCCACTCACCCACCCACTCAACCACTCACCCATTCACCACACACTCACCCATTCACTCACCCACTCACCCACCCACTCACCCATTCATTCACCCACCCACTCACCCAACCACTCACCAATTCACTAACCCAACGACTCACCAATTCACTCACCCACCCACTCACCCTTTCACTCACCCTCTCACCCATTCACTCATTCACCCACTCACCCACCCACCCACTCACCCAACCACTCACCCATTCACTCACCCAGCCACTCACACAACCACTCACCCATTCACTCACCCACCCACTCACACATTCAGTCACCCATTCACTCACCCACACACTACACACACGACACACACACGACACACACACCACACACGACACACACACTACACACACTGCACACACTACACACACACAGTCTCCAACCATCTGCTCCGCAACCCCCCGCAGTATTAACCAGGTCGGCCCGCCACTCCCAAACCACGAACCTCTGCCAACAAGCTGTAAACAACAACAACAACATCTCGCGAAATAAAGCTGTACATACACACAGACAGGTGTGGTGTGTTTGTTGTAGATACACACACACAGGGCTTGAACCCAGACTCTCAGTGTCCCTGACACGGATATCGTGACCGCCCTGAGAGAGAGAGAGACACCCAGACCCAGGGTTTGAACCCAGACTCTCAGTGTCTCCGACACGTCCATCGTGAACCCCCTGAGAGAGAGATTCACCCAGATCCAGGGCTTGAACCCAGACTCTCAGTGTCTCTGACATGGCCATCGTGAACCCCCTGAGAGAGAGACATCCAGACCCAGGGCTTGAACCCAGACTCTCAGTGTCTCTGACATGGCCATCGTGAACCCCCTGAGAGAGAGACACCCAAACCCAGGGCTTGAACCCAGACTCTCAGTGTCTCTGACATGGCCATCGTGAACTCCCTGAGAGAGAGAGACACCCAGACCCAGGGCTTGAACCCAGACTCTCAGTGTCTCTGACACGGCCATCGTGAACCCCCTGAGAGAGAGAGAGACACCCAGACCCAGGGCTTGAACCCAGGTCTCAGTGTCTCTGACACGGCCATCGTGAACCCCCTGAGAGAGAGACATCCAGACCCAGGGTTTGAACCCAGACTCTCAGTGTCTCCGACACGTCCATCGTGAACCCCCTAAGAGAGAGACACCCAGACCCAGGGCTTGAACCCAGACTCTCAGTGTCTCTGACACAGCCATCGTGAACCCCCTGAGAGAGACACCCAGACCTAGGGCTTGAACCCAGACTCTCAGTGTCTCTGACACGGCCATCGTGAACCCCCTGAGACAGAGAGAGACACCCAGACCCAGGGCTTGAACCCAGGATCTCAGTGTCTCTGACACGGCCATCGTGAACCCCCTGAGAGAGAGAGACACCCAGACCGAGCGCTTAAACCCAGGTCTCAGTGTCTCTGACACGGCCATCGTGAACCCCCTGAGAGAGAGACACCCAGACCCAGGGCTTGAACGCAGGCTCTCAGTGTCTCTGACACGGCCATTTTGAACCCCCTGAGAGAGAGAGACACCCAGACCCAGGGCTTGAACCCAGGATCTCAGTGTCTCTGACACGGCCATCGTGAACCCCCTGAGAGAGAGAGACACCCAGACCTAGGGCTTAAACCCAGGTCTCAGTGTCTCTGACACGGCCATCGTGAACCCCCTGAGAGAGAGACACCCAGACCCAGGGCTTGAACGCAGGCTCTCAGTGTCTCTGACACGGCCATTTTGAACCCCCTGAGAGAGAGAGACACCCAGGGCTTGAACCCAGGCTCTGAGTGTCTCTGACACGGCCATCGTGAACCCCCTGAGAGAGAGAGACACCCAGGGCTTGAACCCAGGCTCTCAGTGTCTCTGACACGGCCATCGTGAACCCCCTGAGAGAGAGAGACACCCAGGGCTTGAACCCAGGCTCTCAGTGTCTCTGACACGGCCATCGTGAACTCACTGAGAGAGAGACACCCAGATCAAGGGCTTGAACCCAGGCTATCAGTGTCTGTAACACGGCCATCGTAAACTCCTTCAGAGAGAGAGACACCCAGACCCAGGGCTTGAACCCAGGTTCTCAGTGTCTCTGACACAGACATCGTGAACCCCCTGAGAGAGAGAGAGACACCCAGACCCAGGGCTTGAACCCAGGCTCTCAGTGTCTCTGACACGGACATCGTCAACCCCCTGAGAGAGAGAGAGACACCCAGACCCAGGGCTTGAACCCAGACTCAGTGTCTCTGACACGGACATCGTGAACCCCCTGAGAGAGAGAGAGAGAGACACCCAGACCCAGGGCTTGAACCCAGACCCTCAGTGTCTCTGACACGGACATCGTGAACCCCCTGAGAGAGAGACACACCCAGATCCAGGGCTTGAACCCAGGATATCAGTGTCTGTAACACGGCCATCGTGAACTCTTTCAGAGAGAGAGACACCCAGATCCAGGGCTTGAACCCAGACTCTCAGTGTCTCTGACACGGCCATCGTGAACCCCCTGAGAGAGAGACACCCAGACCCAGGGCTTGAACCCAGGCTCTCAGTGTCTCTGACACGACCATCATGAACCCCCTGAGAGAGAGACACCCAGACCCAGGGCTTGAACCCAGACTCTCAGTGTCTCTGACACGGACATCGTGAACCCCCTGAGAGAGAGACACACCCAGACCCAGGGCTTGAACCCAGGCTCTCAGTGTCTCTGACACGGACATCGTGAACTCCCTGAGAGAGAGAGACACCCAGATCCAGGGCTTGAACCCAGGCTATCAGTGTCTGTAACACGGCCATCGTGAACTCCTTCAGAGAGAGAGACACCCAGACCCAGGGCTTGAACCCAGGTCTCAGTGTCTCTGACACGACCATCGTGAACCCCCTGAGAGAGAGACACCCAGACCAAGGGCTTGAACCCAGGTCTCAGTGTCTCTGACACGGCCATCGTGAACTCCCTGAGAGAGAGACACCCAGATCCAGGGCTTGAACCCAGGTCTCAGTGTCTCCGACACGGCCATCGTAAACCCCCTGAGAGACAGAGACACCCAGACCCAGGGCTTGAACCCAGACTCTCAGTGTCTCTGACACGGCCATCGTGAACCCCCTGAGAGAAAGAGAGAGACACCCAGACCCAGGGCTTGAACCCAGACTCTCAGTATCTCTGACACGGCCATCGTGAACCCCCTGAGAGAGAGAGACACCCAGACCCAGGGCTTGAACCCAGGATCTCAGTGTCTCTGACACGGACATCGTGAACCCCCTGAGAGAGAGACACCCAGACCCAGGGCTTGAACCCAGGTCTCAGTGTCTCTGACACGGACATCGTGAACCCCCTGAGAGAGAGAGACACCCAGGGCTTGAACCCAGGCTCTCAGTGTCTCTGACACGGCCATCGTGAACCACCTGAGAGAGAGAGACACCCAGGGCTTGAACCCAGGCTCTCAGTGTCTCTGACACGGCCATCGTGAACTCACTGAGAGAGAGACACCCAGATCAAGGGCTTGAACCCAGGCTATCAGTGTCTGTAACACGGCCATCGTAAACTCCTTCAGAGAGAGAGACACCCAGACCCAGGGCTTGAACCCAGGCTCTCAGTGTCTCTGACACGGACATCGTCAACCCCCTGAGAGAGAGAGAGACACCCAGACCCAGGGCTTGAACCCAGACTCTCAGTGTCTCTGACACGGACATCGTGAACCCCCTGAGAGAGAGAGAGAGACACCCAGACCCAGGGCTTGAACCCAGACCCTCAGTGTCTCTGACACGGACATCGTGAACCCCCTGAGAGAGAGACACACCCAGATCCAGGGCTTGAACCCAGGATATCAGTGTCTGTAACACGGCCATCGTGAACTCTTTCAGAGAGAGAGACACCCAGATCCAGGGCTTGAACCCAGACTCTCAGTGTCTCTGACACGGCCATCGTGAACCCCCTGAGAGAGAGACACCCAGACCCAGGGCTTAAACCCAGGCTCTCAGTGTCTCTGACACGACCATCATGAACCCCCTGAGAGAGAGACACCCAGACCCAGGGCTTGAACCCAGACTCTCAGTGTCTCTGACACGGACATCGTGAACCCCCTGAGAGAGAGACACACCCAGACCCAGGGCTTGAACCCAGGCTCTCAGTGTCTCTGACACGGACATCGTGAACTCCCTGAGAAAGAGAGACACCCAGATCCAGGGCTTGAACCCAGGCTATCAGTGTCTGTAACACGGCCATCGTGAACTCCTTCAGAGAGAGAGACACCCAGACCCAGGGCTTGAACCCAGGTCTCAGTGTCTCTGACACGACCATCGTGAACCCCCTGAGAGAGAGACACCCAGACCCAGGGCTTGAACCCAGGTCTCAGTGTCTCTGACACGGCCATCGTGAACTCCCTGAGAGAGAGACACCCAGATCCAGGGCTTGAACCCAGGTCTCAGTGTCTCCGACACGGCCATCGTAAACCCCCTGAGAGACAGAGACACCCAGACCCAGGGCTTGAACCCAGACTCTCAGTGTCTCTGACACGGCCATCGTGAACCCCCTGAGAGAGAGAGAGACACCCAGACCCAGGGCTTGAACCCAGGATCTCAGTATCTCTGACACGGCCATCGTGAACTCTTTGAGAGAGAGAGAGAGACACCCAGACCCAGGGCTTGAACCCAGGATCTCAGTGTCTCTGACACGGACATCGTGAACCCCCTGAGAGAGAGACACCCAGACCCAGGGCTTGAACCCAGGATCTCAGTGTCTCTGACACGGACATCGTGAACCCCCTGAGAGAGAGACACCCAGACCCAGGGCTTGAACCCAGGTCTCAGTGTCTCTGACACGGACATCGTGAATCCCCTGAGAGAGAGAGACACCCAGACCCAGGGCTTGAACCCAGACTCTCAGTGTCTCTGACACGGACATCGTGAATCCCCTGAGAGAGAGACACCCAGACCCAGGGCTTGAACCCAGGTCTAAGTGTCTCTGACACGGCCATCGTGAACCCCCTGAGAGAGAGAGAGAGACACCCAGACCCAAGGCTTGAACCCAAACTGTCAGTGTCTCTGACACGGCCATCGTAAACCCCCTGAGAGAGACACCCAGACAGACCCAGGGCTCGAACCCAGGATCTCAGTGTCTCCGACACGGCCATTATGAACCCCCTGATAGAGGCAGAGAGAGACACCCAGACCCAGGGCTTGAACCCAGGCTCTCAGTGTCTCCGACACGGCCATCGTGAACTCCATGAGAGAGAGACACACCCAGACCCAGGGCTTGAACCCAGGCTCTCAGTGTCTCTGACACGGACATCGTGTACCCCCCGAGAGAGAGAGACACACCCAGACCCAGGGCTTGAACCCAGAATCACAACCCATGGCACCTGCTGGGTCTGTCCCGTGACCTCCTCCTCCTGCACCTAGCCTGGCACAGCAGTCAACCCATGGCACCTGCTGGGTCTGTCCCGTGACCTGTCAGAAGCGAGCCTTCCAAATGACACGTGGCATCAAAGTGCACCTAGCCTGGTACAGGCGCGTTGGTTAGAGAGTGTGGCGGCGGGGCTGACTTGTAGAGTGGGCGGGGCTAGTCGTGGAGTGGGTGGGGCTAGTTTGACAGGGGGCGGAGTTAATTGTGGAGTGGGTGGGGGCTAGTTGATGAGGGGCGGGTCTAATTGCGGGGTGGGCGGCGCTAGGTGACGAGAGGGGTTGGGGGCTAATTGTAAAATGGGCGGGGCAGGGTCGTTGGTGCGGGGGGCGGGACTTCTTATGGAGGGCGTGGCTAGTTGACAATAGGGGCGGGGCTAATTGTATAGCGGGCGGCGGGCTCCTTGCGGTATGGGCGGGGCTAGTAATAAAGGCAGGCGGGGGCTAGTTGATGGGGGGGGTGGGGTTAATTATTTTGTGGGCGGGGCTACTTGTGGATTGGGCGGAGCCAATTACGCGTGGGGGCGGGGCGAGCTGTCACTTTTTCCCAGGGTGCACGACGGCCGCCGGCATTCCGGTTTTTGGACTCGCGGTCACGTGGCGGTTGCCAGGGGTCACGGTACAGTGCGGGTCGTGGGGCCGCACCGGGGTGGGGGGGGGGGGCACGGGAGGGGGCAGGGGGGGTGAGGGGTCGGGGGGGGCAGTTAGGGGGCACGGGGGGGGGCACGGGGGGGGGGCACGGGAGGGGACGGGGGGGGGCAGGGGGGGGGCACGGGTGGGGGACAAGGGGGGGGGCTACATGTGTGTGTGTGTGCTACATGTGTGTGTGTGTGTGCTACATGTGTGTGTGTGTGTGCTACATGTGTGTGTGTGTGTGCTACATGTGTGTGTGTGTGCTACATGTGTGTGTGTGTGTGCTACATGTGTGTGTGTGTGTGCTACATGTGTGTGTGTGTGCTACATGTGTGTGTGTGCTGCGTGTGTGTGTGTGTGCTGCATGTGTGTGTGTGTGTGCTACATTGTGTGTGTGTGCTACATGTGTGTGTGTGTGCTACATGTGTGTGTGTGCTACATGTGTGTGTGTGTGTGCTACATGTGTGTGTGTGTGTGCTACATGTGTGTGTGTGCTACATGTGTGTGTGTGTGCTACATGTGTGTGTGTGTGTGCTACATGTGTGTGTGTGCTACATTGTGTGTGTGTGCTACATGTGTGTGTGTGTGCTACATGTGTGTGTGTGTGCTACATTGTGTGTGTGTGTGCTACATGTGTGTGTGTATGCTACATGTGTGTGTGTGTGTACTACATGTGTGTGTGTGTGCTACATTGTGTGTGTGTGCTACATGTGTGTGTGTGTGCTACATGTGTGTGTGTGTGCTACATGTGTGTGTGTGCTACATGTGTGTGCTACATTGTGTGTGTGTGCTACATGTGTGTGTGTGTGCTACATGTGTGTGTGTGTGCTACATGTGTGTGTGTGTGCTACCTGTGTGTGTGCTACATGTGTGTGTGTGTGCTACATGTGTGTGTGTGTGTGCTACATGTGTGTGTGTGTGCTACATGTGTGTGTGTGTGCTACATGTGTGTGTGTGTGCTACATGTGTGTGTGCTACATGTGTGTGTGTGTGTGCTACATGTGTGTATGTGTGCTACATGTGTGTGTGTGCTACATGTGTGTGTGTGTGCTACATGTGTGTGTGTGTGCTACATGTGTGTGTGTGTGCTACATGTGTGTGTGTGTGCTACATGTGTGTGTGCTACATGTGTGTGTGTGTGTGCTACATGTGTGTCTGTGTGCTACATGTGTGTGTGTGTGCTACATGTGTGTGTGTGTGCTACATATGTGTGTGTGTGTGCTACATGTGTGTGTGTGTGCTACATGTGTGTGTGTGTGTGCTACATGTGTGTGTGCGTGTGCTACCTGTGTGTGTGTGTGCTATATGTGTGTGTGTGCTACATGTGTGTGTGTGTGCTACATGTGTGTGTGTGTGTACTACATGTGTGTGTGTGTGTGCTATATGTGTGTGTGTGTGTGCTACATGTGTGTGTGTGCTGTGTGTGTGCTACATGTGTGTGTGTGTGTGCTACATGTGTGTGTGTGTGCTACATGTGTGTGTGTGCTACATGTGTGTGTACTACATGTGTGTGTGTGTGCTACGTGTGTGTGTGTGTGTGCTACATGTGTGTGTGTGTGCTACATGTGTGTGTGTGCTGCGTGTGTGTGTGTGTGTGTGCTACATGTGTGTGTGTGTGCTGCATGTGTGTGTGTGTGTGTGCTACATGTGTGTGTGTGTGTGCTACATGTGTGTGTGTGTGCTACATGTGTGTGTGTGTGTGCTACATGTGTGTGTGTGTGTGCTACATGTGTGTGTGTGTGCTACATGTGTGTGTGTGTGTGCTGTGTGTGTGTGTGCTGTGTGTGTGTGCTACATGTGTGTGTGTGTGTGCTACATGTGTGTGTGTGTGCTACATGTGTGTGTGTGTGCTACATGTGTGTGAGTGTGTGCTACATTGTGTGTGTGTGCTACATGTGTGTGTGTGTGCTACATGTGTGTGTGTGTGTGCTACATTGTGTGTGTGTGCTACATGTGTGTGTGTGTGCTACATGTGTGTGTGTGTGCTACATTGTGTGTGTGTGTGCTACATGTGTGTGTGTATGCTACATGTGTGTGTGTGTGTACTACATGTGTGTGTGTGTGCTACATTGTGTGTGTGTGCTACATGTGTGTGTGTGTGCTACATGTGTGTGTGTGTGCTACATGTGTGTGTGTGCTACATGTGTGTGCTACATTGTGTGTGTGTGCTACATGTGTGTGTGTGTGCTACATGTGTGTGTGTGTGCTACATGTGTGTGTGTGTGCTACCTGTGTGTGTGCTACATGTGTGTGTGTGTGCTACATGTGTGTGTGTGTGTGCTACATGTGTGTGTGTGTGCTACATGTGTGTGTGTGTGCTACATGTGTGTGTGCTACATGTGTGTGTGTGTGTGCTACATGTGTGTGTGTGTGTGCTACATGTGTGTATGTGTGCTACATGTGTGTGTGTGTGCTACATGTGTGTGTGTGTGCTACATGTGTGTGTGTGTGCTACATGTGTGTGTGTGTGCTACATGTGTGTGTGTGTGCTACATGTGTGTGTGCTACATGTGTGTGTGTGTGTGCTACATGTGTGTATGTGTGCTACATGTGTGTGTGTGTGCTACATGTGTGTGTGTGTGCTACATATGTGTGTGTGTGTGCTACATGTGTGTGTGTGTGCTACATGTGTGTGTGTGTGTGCTACATGTGTGTGTGCGTGTGCTACCTGTGTGTGTGTGTGCTATATGTGTGTGTGTGCTACATGTGTGTGTGTGTGCTACATGTGTGTGTGTGTGTACTACATGTGTGTGTGTGTGTGCTATATGTGTGTGTGTGTGTGCTACATGTGTGTGTGTGCTGTGTGTGTGCTACATGTGTGTGTGTGTGTGCTACATGTGTGTGTGTGCTACATGTGTGTGTGTGCTACATGTGTGTGTGTGTGCTACATGTGTGTGTGTGCTACATGTGTGTGTACTACATGTGTGTGTGTGTGCTACGTGTGTGTGTGTGTGTGTGCTACATGTGTGTGTGTGTGCTACATGTGTGTGTGTGCTGCGTGTGTGTGTGTGTGTGTGCTACATGTGTGTGTGTGTGCTGCATGTGTGTGTGTGTGTGTGCTACATGTGTGTGTGTGTGTGCTACATGTGTGTGTGTGTGCTACATGTGTGTGTGTGTGTGCTACATGTGTGTGTGTGTGTGCTACATGTGTGTGTGTGTGTGCTACATGTGTGTGTGTGTGTGCTGTGTGTGTGTGTGCTGTGTGTGTGTGCTACATGTGTGTGTGTGTGTGCTACATGTGTGTGTGTGTGCTACATGTGTGTGTGTGTGCTACATGTGTGTGTGTGTGTGTGCTACATGTGTGTGTGCTACATGTGTGTGTGTGTGTGCTACATGTGTGTGTGTGTGCTACATGTGTGTGTGTGTGTGCTACATGTGTGTGTGTGTGTGTGCTGCGTGTGTGTGTGTGTGTGCTACATGTGTGTGTGTGTGTGCTACATGTGTGTGTGTGCTACATGTGTGTGTGTGTGCTACATGTGTGTGTGCTACATGTGTGTGTGTGCTACATGTGTGTGTGTGTGTGCTACATGTGTGTGTGTGTGCTACATGTGTGTGTGTGTGTGTGCTACATGTGTGTGTGTGTGTGTGCTGCGTGTGTGTGTGTGTGCTACATGTGTGTGTGTGTGCTATATGTGTGTGTGTGCTACATGTGTGTGTGTGTGTGCTACATGTGTGTGTGTGTGTGCTACATGTGTGTGTGTGTTACATGTGTGTGTGTGTGCTACCTGTGTGTGTGTGCTACATGTGTGTGTGTGTGCTGCATGTGTGTGTGTGTGCTACATGTGTATGTGTGTGTGCTACATGTGTGTGTGTGTGTGCTGCATGTGTGTGTGTGCTACATGTGTATGTGTGTGTGCTACATGTGTGTGTGTGCTACATGTGTGTGTGTATGCTGCATGTGTGTGTGAGTGTGTGCTACATGTGTGTCTGTGCTACATGTGTGTGTGTGTGCTACATGTGTGTGTGTGTGCTACATGTGTGTGTGAGTGTGTGCTACATGTGTGTCTGTGCTACATGTGTGTGTGTGTGTGTGCTACATGTGTGTGTGTGTGCTACATGTGTGTGTGCTGCATGTGTGTGTGTGCTACATGTGTGTGTGTGCTACATGTGTGTGTGTGTGCTACATGTGTGTGTGTGTGCTACATGTGTGTGTGTGCTACATGTGTGTGTGTGTGCTACATGTGTGTGTGCTACATGTGTGTGTGTGCTGCATGTGTGTGTGTGCTGTGTGTGTGTGTGCTACGTGTGTGTGCTACATGTGTGTGTGTGTGTGCTAAGTGTGTGTGCTACATGTGTGTGCTACATGTGTGTGTGTGTGCTACATGTGTGTGCTACATGTGTGTGTGTGTACTGCATGTGTGTGTGCTACATGTGTGTGTGTGTGCGCTACGTGTGTGTGTGTACTGCATGTGTGTGTGTGTGCTACATGTGTGTGCGTGTGCTGTGTGTGTGTGTGTGTGCTACATGTGTGTGTGTGTGTATACGCTACATGGGCTTGTAATTACCAACACGCTGTTCCACCATCGGCGCATCCACACAACATCATGGATGCATGCCGGGTCCAAGCAAGAACATCTGCTGGACTACGTAGTGACGGACCAGCGGATGCGAGCCCATGTCCTTGACACCAGGACCTACCGTGGAGCTGATCTGCCCTCTGACCATCGACTTGTCATTTGTAAGATGCGCCTGCCATTCTTCCACTCCGGTGGTGGGTGTACACCCAGGACCCCATTCCAACCTAAAGTGGCCTGGTCTTAGTTAGCGGATGAAAGTTGCAAGCGAGAATTTCATCATCGCTTGCAGCTGGGGTTGGCATCGTCCCCCACTCCTCCTGATGTCGAGGATAAATGGGCGAGGTTTTGGACTGTGACTCATGCAGCTACAATGGCTGCTTTGGGTATGCAGTCCAGACCTCCCCAGAGACCCTGGCTGACAGAGGAGGGAGGTGTTCAGGATAGTTGAGAAAAAGCGACAGGCCCACTGTCATCGGCTACAGCATCCCACGTCAGAGAATGAGGAGGCTTACCGCAGCCTTCGCTCGGAGGTTCGGAGAGCCGTGAGGCGCTGCAAGGATGGGTGGTGGTCGCAAGTTGCTGAGGAGATGGAGTCTGCCTCAGTGGCCCGCGATCACAAATCTCTATTTAACTCCATCAAAAAAGTAACCTGCAGCGCCACACCTATTACCATCATTAGGGGAAAAATGGTGTTCCAATCTCCGACCCCCATGAACAGGTTTGTAGATTTGCTGAGCATTTCAGTGAGGTCCTGGGGGAGGGGAAACCCCTCAGCCAGGAAAACATCGTGGCACAAGGTGAGGATGACCCTGCTGAGGCTGCAGTGCCTCAAATATTGGAAGAAGTCACCCCCTGTGAGTGGCTGACTGAGGTGCCATCTGTTGAGGAAGTACTCAAGGCGATCCAGAGTCTGAGACCAGGAAAGGCACCGGGCAGAGATGATCTCCAAAGCGAAATGCTGAGGGAGGGTGGCGTTTGTGCACAGACTGCCCTATATGACATCATAACAACAGTCTGGACCACTGGACGGGTTCCGCAGGATTGGAAGGATGCCCTGGTGGTCCCCCTCATTAAGAAGGGGGACCGCACAGACTGTAACAACTACAGGGGCATCTCACTCCTCAGTGTGCCGGGAAAGGTCCTGGCAAGGATTATTCAACATCGCCTTGCCAGGCACGCTGAGGAAAAGCTTGCGGAGCCCCAATGCGGTTTCAGGGAAGGGCGGTCCTGCACAGATGCCATATTTTCTGTCCAGCTGCTACAGCAGAGGTGTAGGGAATTCCAACAATACCTACATCTCTGCTTTATTGACCTGGTCAAGGCCTATGATACCATCAGTAGGAATGGGCACTGGGTTGTCCTTCGTGTTTTTGGAGTCCCTGACCCCCTGCTCACGATCATTAAGGACCTTCATGATGGTGAGCGGGCCCGGGTAAAACTACGTGGCCGGAAGTCAGAGCCATTCCCTGTACACCTTGGGGTACGACAGGGATGTCGTCTGGCTCCTACATTTAACATCTATTTTGACCACGTAGTTCATGAAGACTTCAATAGCTGTACCGGGGGAATCTCCATTTCGTACAGATATAATGGGAGGCTGTTCGATGCCCGGGTGCGGTCAAGGGATGGCTCCTTATTGCTCAACCACGTTATGTATGCCGATGATTTGGTAATAGCTGCTCATTCAGAGGCGGAGTTGGAGATGCTGCTGCTGAGACTGGAGCGTGCCACTAAGAGATGGGGCCTTACCATCAGCCCCACCAAAACTAAGCACCTGCCTGGGTATTTTGTACCAGTGGACACTCCACCCCCACAACTCCCAATCGGTGATGGGGCAGTTGTGGAGAGAGTGGAGAGTGTCCCATACCTGGGCAGTGTGCTTATGACCGGCTCCAGTTTAACAGCAGAGGTCTCACTCCGAATCAGTCGAGCGGCAATATCTTTTCATTGGTTGCGTAACGCTGTGTGGAAGCTACCTGGTCTGTCGCTCCGCACTAAGCTTCAGGTCTTCTCGGCCACGGTCATTCCCTCCCTTCTCTACGCTTGCGAAACGTGGACCCCCTTAATGGAGCATCTTCGCTGGTTGGAAACATTTAGGCTGGCCTGCCTACGATCCATCCTGGGGTTAACCAGGCTGGATTGTGTGAGGAGCTCACAAATCCTTGAAAGATCTGGGCAAAGTCCCATCGGTGAGCTCCTCCGGCGGGCAAGACTGCGTTGGCTGGGTCATGTAGCCCGCATGCCCAGCTACCGCATGCCGAAACAGCTTTTGTTCGGCCGGATCGAGGGGGCTAGATGGGCGCGGCACGGGCTAGAGAAGAGATGGAGTGATGTGGTACAGGAGGACGTGGAGCTGAGTGGACTTGCCGATGACTGGTACCAGCGGTGTCAAGATCGGCCTCTGTGGAGGAGGCTCGTTAAGGACGCTTCTGGGCAGTTGGAGGCAGTCGCCCTCCATCAACAACGGAGGGCGGAGGAGCGATGCTCACAACAACGAGCGGAGCACCGGGTGGCTAAAGCACAGCAAGTAGGCACAGTAGGGGGCACAGGTGGTGCATCAGCCAGTCATCTCAGTCAGTCGACCCGTGGCACCTGGGTCTGCCCCGTGACCTCCTGCCAGCGGGCGTTCGACACTTCACGTGGCCTCAGGGTGCACATAGCCTGGCACAAGCGTCGTGGTGATGTCACCGCCACTTAGTGGCAAATGGCGGTTGTTGGTTGTTGTTGTATACCCTACACGTGTGTATGTGTGTGTGTATACACTACACGTGTGTGTGTGTGTACGCTACACGTGTGTGTGTGTACCCTACACGTGTGTGTGTATACCCTACACGTGTGTGTGTGTGTATATACGTGTGTGTGTGTGTGTACGCTACGTGTGTGTGTGTACCCTACACGCGTGTGTGTGTACCCTACACGTGTGTGTGTACGCTACGCGTGTGTGTGTGTGTACGCTACGCGTGTGTGTGTGTATGTGTGTGTGTGTACGCTACACGTGTGTGTGTGTGTGTACGCTACACGTGTGTGTGTGTGTACCCTACACGTGTGTGTATGTGTGTGTACGCTACACGTGTGTGTGTGTACGCTACACGTGTGTGTGTGTACGCTACACGTGTGTGTGTGTGTGTACCCTACACGTGTGTGTGTGTGTACGCTACACGTGTGTGTGTGTTTACGCTACACGTGTGTGTGTGTACCCTACACGTGTGTGTGTGTGTACGCTACATGCGTGTGTGTGTGTGTACCCTACACGTGTGTGTGTGTGTGTACGCTACACGTGTGTGTGTGTACGCTACACGTGTGTGTGTGTACGCTACACGTGTGTGTGTGTACGCTACACGTGTGTGTGTGTGTACGCTACACGTGTGTGTGTGTACGCTACACGTGTGTGTGTGTGTATCCTACACGTGTGTGTGTGTGTACGCTACACGTGTGTGTGTATGTGTGTGTGTGTACCCTACGTGTATATGTGTGTGTGTACACTACGTGTGTGTGTGTGTATGTGTGTGTATGTGTGTGTGTATGTGTGTGTATGTGTGTGTGTGTCGCAGGCCACGCTATGGAGGCCGTGGTGCTGCTCGTGCGCCGAGCCGCGGTGCGTGCCGCGGCGCTGCTGTCCCGGCGGAGCGGCGCGGCGTGCACGGCGCTGGCGCTCCTCACGCTGCTCGCCTGCGCTGCCAAGGAGCTGGCACCGCTCCCCGAGTTCTACTTCGCCCACAAGCGAAACTTCGTCAACGTGTGGGTCCACGCCCGCACTCTGCCGCCACGCCGCCTCCCGCTCGCCGTTGTCTGTGTCACCCCAACCACACCTCTGTCTGTGTGTGTCACCCTCTGTCTGTGTCACCCTCTCTCTGTGTGTCACCCTCTCTCTGTGTCACCCTCTCTCTGTGTGTCACCCTCTGTCTGTGTCACCCCAACCACACCTCTCTCTGTGTGTCACCCCAACCACACCTCTGTCTGTGTCACCCTCTCTCTGAGTGTCACCCCAACCACACCTCTCTCTGTGTGTGTCACCCAACCCTCTCTCTGTGTCACCCAACCCTCTCTGTGTTTCACCCTCTCTCTGTGTGTCACCCCAACCACACCTCTCTCTGTGTGTCACCCTCTCTCTGTGTGTCACCCCAACCACACCTCTCTCTGTGTGTCACCCTCTCTCTGTGTGTCACCCCAACCACACCTCTCTCTGTGTGTCACCCTCTCTCTCTGTGTCACCCAACCCACTCTGTGTGTCACCCAACCCTCTCTGTGTGTCACCCTCTCTGTGTGTCACCCTCTCTCTGTGTCACCCAACCCTCTCTGTGTGTCACCCTCTCTCTGTGTGTCACCCTCTCTCTGTGTCACCCTCTCTCTCTGTGTCACCCTCTCTGTGTGTCACCCAACCCTCTCTGTGTGTCACCCTCTCTCTGTGTCACCCTCTCTCTCTATGTCACCCTCTCTGTGTGTCACCCAACCCTCTCTGTGTCACCCTCTCTCTGTGTCACCCTCTCTCTGTGTGTCACCTTCTCTCTGTGTCACCCAACCCTCTCTGTGTGTGTCACCCTCTCTGTGTGTCACCCTCTCTCTGTGTCACCCTCTCTCTGTGTCACCCTCTCTGTGTGTCACCCTCTCTGTGTGTCACCCTCTCTCTGTGTCACCCTCTCTGTGTGTCACCCTCTCTCTGTGTCACCCTCTCTGTGTGTCACCCTCTCTGTGTGTCACCCTCTCTGTGTGTCACCCTCTCTCTGTGTCACCCTCTCTCTGTGTCACCCTCTCTCTGTGTCACCCTCTCTGTGTGTGTCACCCAACCCTCTCTGTGTGTCACCCTCTCTCTGTGTCACCCTCTCTCTGTGTGTGTCACCCCAACCTTCTCTCTGTGTCACCCAACCCTCTCTGTGTGTCACCCTCTCTGTGTGTCACCCTCTCTCTGTGTGTGTCACCCCAACCTTCTCTCTGTGTCACCCAACCCTCTCTGTGTGTCACCCTCTCTGTGTGTCACCCTCTCTCTGTGTGTGTCACCCCAACCTTCTCTCTGTGTCACCCAACCCTCTCTGTGTGTCACCCTCTCTGTGTGTCACCCTCTCTGTGTCACCCAACCCTCTCTGTGTGTCACCCTCTCTCTGTGTCACCCTCTCTCTGTGTGTGTCACCGCAACCTTCTCTCTGTGTCACCCAACCCTCTCTGTGTGTCACCCTCTCTCTGTGTCACCCTCTCTCTGTGTGTGTCACCCCAACCTTCTCTCTGTGTCACCCAACCCTCTCTGTGTCACCCAACCCTCTCTGTGTGTCACCCTCTCTCTGTGTCACCCTCTGTGTCACCCTCTCTCTGTGTCACCCTCTCTCTGTGTGTGTCACCCCAACCTTCTCTCTGTGTCACCCAACCCTCTCTGTGTCACCCAACCCTCTCTGTGTGTCACCCTCTCTCTGTGTCACCCTCTGTGTCACCCTCTCTCTGTGTCACCCTCTCTCTGTGTGTGTCACCCCAACCTTCTCTCTGTGTCACCCAACCCTCTCTGTGTGTCACCCTCTCTCTGTGTCACCCTCTCTCTGTGTCTGTCACCCCAACCTTCTCTCTGTGTCACCCAACCCTCTCTGTGTGTCACCCTCTCTGTGTCACCCAACCTTCTCTGTGTCACCCAACCCTCTCTGTGTCACCCTCTCTGTGTGTCACCCAACCCTCTCTGTGTGTCACCCTCTCTCTGTGTGTCACCCTCTCTGTGTCACCCTCTCTGTGTGTGTCACCCAACCCTCTCTGTGTGTCACCCTCTCTCTGTGTCACCCTCTCTCTGTGTGTGTCACCCCAACCTTCTCTCTGTGTCACCCAACCCTCTCTGTGTCACCCAACCCTCTCTGTGTGTCACCCTCTCTGTGTGTCACCCTCTCTGTGTCACCCAACCCTCTCTGTGTGTCACCCTCTCTCTGTGTCACCCTCTCTCTGTGTGTGTCACCCCAACCTTCTCTCTGTGTCACCCAACCCTCTCTGTGTCACCCTCTCTCTGTGTGTCACCCTCTCTCTGTGTCACCCTCTCTCTGTGTGTCACCCTCTGTCTGTGTCACCCCAACCACACCTCTCTCTGTGTGTCACCCCAACCACACCTCTGTCTGTGTCACCCTCTCTCTGTGTGTCACCCCAACCACACCTCTCTCTGTGTGTGTCACCCAACCCTCTCTCTGTGTCACCCTCTCTCTGTGTCACCCCAACCACACCTCTCTCTGTGTGTCACCCTCTCTCTGTGTGTCACCCAACCCACTCTGTGTCACCCAACCCTCTCTGTGTGTCACCCTCTCTCTGTGTGTCACCCCAACCACACCTCTCTCTGTGTGTCACCCTCTCTCTGTGTGTCACCCCAACCACACCTCTCTCTGTGTGTCACCCTCTCTCTGTGTGTCACCCCAACCACACCTCTCTCTGTGTGTCACCCTCTCTCTCTGTGTCACCCAACCCACTCTGTGTGTCACCCAACCCTCTCTGTGTGTCACCCTCTCTGTGTGTCACCCTCTCTCTGTGTCACCCAACCCTCTCTGTGTGTCACCCTCTCTCTGTGTGTCACCCTCTCTCTGTGTCACCCTCTCTCTCTGTGTCACCCTCTCTGTGTGTCACCCAACCCTCTCTGTGTGTCACCCTCTCTCTGTGTCACCCTCTCTCTCTATGTCACCCTCTCTGTGTGTCACCCAACCCTCTCTGTGTCACCCTCTCTCTGTGTCACCCTCTCTCTGTGTCACCCTCTCTCTGTGTGTCACCTTCTCTCTGTGTCACCCAACCCTCTCTGTGTGTGTCACCCTCTCTGTGTGTCACCCTCTCTCTGTGTCACCCTCTCTCTGTGTCACCCTCTCTGTGTGTCACCCTCTCTGTGTGTCACCCTCTCTCTGTGTCACCCTCTCTGTGTGTCACCCTCTCTCTGTGTCACCCTCTCTGTGTGTCACCCTCTCTCTGTGTCACCCTCTCTGTGTGTCACCTTCTCTGTGTGTCACCCTCTCTCTGTGTCACCCTCTCTCTGTGTCACCCTCTCTCTGTGTCACCCTCTCTGTGTGTGTCACCCAACCCTCTCTGTGTGTCACCCTCTCTCTGTGTCACCCTCTCTCTGTGTGTGTCACCCCAACCTTCTCTCTGTGTCACCCAACCCTCTCTGTGTGTCACCCTCTCTGTGTGTCACCCTCTCTCTGTGTGTGTCACCCCAACCTTCTCTCTGTGTCACCCAACCCTCTCTGTGTGTCACCCTCTCTGTGTGTCACCCTCTCTCTGTGTCACCCAACCTTCTCTCTGTGTCACCCAACCCTCTCTGTGTGTCACCCTCTCTGTGTGTCACCCTCTCTGTGTCACCCAACCCTCTCTGTGTGTCACCTTCTCTCTGTGTCACCCTCTCTCTGTGTGTGTCACCCCAACCTTCTCTCTGTGTCACCCAACCCTCTCTGTGTGTCACCCTCTCTCTGTGTCACCCTCTCTCTGTGTGTGTCACCCCAACCTTCTCTCTGTGTCACCCAACCCTCTCTGTGTCACCCCAACCCTCTCTGTGTGTCACCCTCTCTCTGTGTCACCCTCTGTGTCACCCTCTCTCTGTGTCACCCTCTCTCTGTGTGTGTCACCCCAACCTTCTCTCTGTGTCACCCAACCCTCTCTGTGTCACCCAACCCTCTCTGTGTGTCACCCTCTCTCTGTGTCACCCTCTGTGTCACCCTCTCTCTGTGTCACCCTCTCTCTGTGTGTGTCACCCCAACCTTCTCTCTGTGTCACCCAACCCTCTCTGTGTGTCACCCTCTCTCTGTGTCACCCTCTCTCTGTGTCTGTCACCCCAACCTTCTCTCTGTGTCACCCAACCCTCTCTGTGTGTCACCCTCTCTGTGTCACCCAACCTTCTCTGTGTCACCCAACCCTCTCTGTGTCACCCTCTCTGTGTGTCACCCAACCCTCTCTGTGTGTCACCCTCTCTCTGTGTGTCACCCTCTCTGTGTCACCCTCTCTGTGTGTGTCACCCAACCCTCTCTGTGTGTCACCCTCTCTCTGTGTCACCCTCTCTCTGTGTGTGTCACCCCAACCTTCTCTCTGTGTCACCCAACCCTCTCTGTGTCACCCAACCCTCTCTGTGTGTCACCCTCTCTGTGTGTCACCCTCTCTGTGTCACCCAACCCTCTCTGTGTGTCACCCTCTCTCTGTGTCACCCTCTCTCTGTGTGTGTCACCCCAACCTTCTCTCTGTGTCACCCAACCCTCTCTGTGTCACCCTCTCTCTCTGTGTCACCCAACCCTCTCTGTGTCACCCAACCCTCTCTGTGTCACCCAACCCTCTCTGTGTGTCACCCAACCCTCTCTGTGTGTCACCCTCTCTCTGTGTGTCACCCTCTCTGTGTCACCCTCTCTGTGTGTGTCACCCAACCCTCTCTGTGTGTCACCCTCTCTCTGTGTCATCCTCTCTCTGTGTGTGTCACCCCAACCTTCTCTCTGTGTCACCCAACCCTCTCTGTGTCACCCAACCCTCTCTGTGTGTCACCCTCTCTGTGTGTCACCCTCTCTGTGTCACCCAACCCTCTCTGTGTGTCACCCTCTCTCTGTGTCACCCTCTCTCTGTGTGTGTCACCCCAACCTTCTCTCTGTGTCACCCAACCCTCTCTGTGTGTCACCCTCTCTGTGTGTCACCCTCTGTGTCACCCTCTCTCTGTGTCACCCTCTCTCTGTGTGTGTCACCTCAACCTTCTCTCTGTGTCACCCAACCCTCTCTGTGTCACCCTCTCTCTGTGTGTGTCACCCCAACCTTCTCTCTGTGTCACCCAACCCTCTCTGTGTCACCCTCTCTCTGTGTGTGTCACCCCAACCTTCTCTCTGTGTCACCCAACCCTCTCTGTGTGTCACCCTCTCTCTGTGTGTCACCCTCTCTGTGTGTCACCCAACCCTCTCTGTGTGTCACCCTCTCTGTGTGTCACCCTCTGTGTCACCCTCTCTCTGTGTCACCCTCTCTCTGTGTGTGTCACCCCAACCTTCTCTCTGTGTCACCCAACCTTCTCTGTGTCACCCAACCCTCTCTGTGTCACCCTCTCTCTCTCCGCCCCCCCCCCCCCTCTCTCCGCCCCCCCCCCCCTCTCTCCGCCCCCCCCCCTCTCTCCGCCCCCCCCCCTCTCTCCGCCCCCCTCTCTCCGCCCCCCCGCCCTCTCTCCGCCCCCCCCCCTCTCTCCGCCCCCCCCTCTCTCTCCGCCCCCCCCCCCTCTCTCCGCCCCCCCTCCAGGTTCTTCGTGAAGCGTGCGTGGGGCTGGATGCTGCTGCCGCTCGTGCCGCTGGTGGCCGTCACGGCCGGCGGCGTGGGGGGGGCCCCCCAAAGGGGGGGCCTCGGGCCCCACGCGGCTCGGCTCCTCGTGGCCACCGCCGTTTGGTTCGTGGCCACGGAAACCTTCGGGCACCTCGACCGGATCACGGGGAGCTGCGACACCGGGCTCGGTGAGGGGTGGGGGGGGCGGGTCGTGACGAGGGGGGGGTGGGGTGGGTGGGGGGGTGGGTGGGGGGGTGGGTGGGGGTGAGGGTGGGGGTGAGGGGTGGGTGGGGGTGAGGGGTGGGTGAGTGGGTGGGTTGGTGTGGTGAGTGGGTGGGTGAGTGGGTGAGTGGGTGAGTGGGTTGGTTGGTGAGTGGGTGAGTGGGTGGGTGAGTGGGTGGGTGGGTGGGTGGGTGAGTGGGTGGAGTGAGTGGGTGGGTGAGTGGGTGGGTGAGTGGGTTGGTGAGTGGGTGGGTGAGTGGGTGGGTGAGTGGGTTGGTGAGTGGGTGGGGTGAGTGGGTGGGTGAGTGGGTGGGGTGAGTGGGTGGGTGAGTGGGTGGGTTGGTGAGTGGGTTGGTGAGTGGGTGTGGGTGGGTGAGTGGGTGGGTGAGTGGGTGGGGTGAGTGAGTGGGTGAGTGAGTGGGTGAGTGGGTTGGTGAGTGGGTTGGTGAGTGGGTTGGTGAGTGGGTTGGTGAGTGGGTTGGTGAGTGGGTTGGTGAGTGGGTTGGTGAGTGGGTTGGTGAGTGGGTTGGTGAGTGGGTTGGTGAGTGGGTTGGTGAGTGGGTTGGTGAGTGGGTTGGTGAGTGGGTTGGTGAGTGGGTTGGTGAGTGGGTTGGTGAGTGGGTTGGTGAGTGGGTTGGTGAGTGGGTTGGTGAGTGGGTTGGCGACTTTAACAAAGGTAATCTCAGCCACGAACTCCCCAAATATATACAATTCATTAAATGCCCAACCAGAGAAGGGAACACTCTGGATCACTGCTACACTACAGTCAGTAGAGCCTACCACGCCGTCCCCCGAGCAGCACTGGGACACTCTGACCATGCCATGGTCTACCTGATTCCTGCATACAGGCAGAAACTAAAACTCTGTAAACCTGCTGTGAGGACATCTAAACAGTGGACCAGTGAGGCTGTGGAAGATTTGCGGGCGTGCTTAGACTGTACTGACTGGGATATGTTCACGACTGCTACCAATAGTCTGGATGAACTCACAGAGGCTGTGACGTCCTACATCAGCTTCTGTGAGGACTGCTGTATCCCAACACGTACCAGGTTGAACTTTAACAACAACAAGCCCTGGTTCTCAGCAAAGCTCAGAAGGTTGAGGTTGGAGAAGGAGGAAGCGTTTAGGAGTGGGGATAGAGACAGATTCAAGGAGTCGAAGAACAGGTTTAGCAAAGCGGTGAGAGAGGCTAAACGACTGTGCTCAGAGAGACTAAAACACCAGTTTTCTAATAACGACGCTGCTTCTGTCTGGAGAGGGCTCAGGCAGATCACCAACTACAAACCCAGAGCCCCCCACACCACTAACGACTCCCGCCTAGCCAACGACCTGAACGAGTTCTACTGTAGATTTGAAAGACAATTGAACTGTCCTGAACCACCCCTTCCCACCCAAGAGGCCCCATCCCCCACCCATACTACAGAGACGACTCTCTCCTTTCAGGAGGGAGAAGTTAATAGACTTTTCAAGAGGCAGAATCCACGCAAAGCAGCCGGGCCGGACTCTGTCTCTCCAGCCACCCTCAGGCACTGTGCTGACCAGCTGTCTCTGGTGTTCACCAACATCTTCAACACCTCCCTGGAGACATGCCATGTACCAGCCTGTCTCAAGTCCTCCACCATCATCCCTGTGCCCAAAAAGCTAAGGCCAACAGGACTAAATGATTACAGACCGGTCGCCCTTACATCTGTGGTAATGAAGTCTTTTGAGCGCCTGGTCCTGGCACACCTCAAAGCCATCACAGACCCTCTCCTGGACCCCCTTCAGTTTGCCTACAGAGCCAACAGGTCTGTGGACGACGCAGTTAACATGGCCCTCCACTTCACTACAGCATCTGGACGCCCCAGCATCCTACGCCAGGATCCTGTTTGTGGACTTCAGCTCTGCCTTCAACACCATCATCCCTGCCCTGCTTCAGGACAAGCTCTTCCAGCTGAACGTGCCCTACACCACCTGTAAATGGATCACAGACTTCCTGTCTGACAGGAAGCAGTGCGTTAAGCTGGGAACACAAGTCTCTGACTCCAGGTCCATCAGCACCGGAACTCCTCAGGGCTGCGTCCTTTCCCCACTGCTCTTCTCCCTGTATACCAACAGCTGCACCTCCAATCATCTGTCCATCAAGCTCTTGAAGTTTGCGGACGACACCACCCTCATTGGGCTGATCTCTGGTGGGGATGAGTCTGACTATAGGTGGGAAGCTGACAACCTGGTGACCTGGTATAGCCAGAACAACTTAGAGCTAAATGCTCTAAAGACAGTTGAGATGGTTGTGGACTTCAGGAAGAATACAGCCCCACTCACCCCCATCACCCTGTTAGACTCCCCAGTCAAAATTGTAGAGTCCTTCCACTTCCTGGGCACTATTCTCTCCCGGGACCTCAAGTGGGAACTGAACATCAGCTCCCTCACCAAGAGAGCTCAACAGAGGATGTACTTTCTACGGCAGTTGAAGAAATTCAACCTGCCAAAGACAATGATGGTGCAATTCTATACAGCGATCATTGAATCCATCCTCACCTCCTCCATAACCGTCTGGTACGCTGCTGCCACTGCCAAGAACAAGAGCAGACTGCAGCGCATCATCCACACTGCTGAGAAGGTGATTGCCTGCAATCTACCGACCCTCGAGGACCTGCACACGACAAGGAGCATGAGGCGAGCGAGGAAGGTTGTGGCCGATTCATCCAACCCTGGACACTCTCTGTTTCAGCTACTCCCCTCCGGCAGAAGGCTTCGGTCCATCAGGACCAAAACCTCACGCCATAAAAACAGATTCTTCCCATCTGATCTGCTGCTGGCCTGTTAAACAAGGCCAAGGGCTTACACTGATTTTAACATTTTATCTACATAATGACACCTTGCCGATATTAACTATGTTAACCTATTTGTATTTTTTATTTTTTAATTATATCTTAAAGCTATTTTATATTCGATATTTATTCAATTTTATATACTTCAGCCCCTTGGTGTTAGTTAGACTTTTAACCCTTATTATTATTATAGTAAGACTTGTTTAAAACTTATTTAAGATTTTAGATTCCTATATGTTGAATGTACGCACCATCCTGCCAAAGTAAATTCCGTGTCGGTGTGAACTTTCATGGCGAATTAAACCCTTTCTGATTCTGAGTGGGTGAGTGAATCAGCAGTCCACGAACCCTCGGCCACAGCAACTGTAGCCGGCTGAATCACTCCGAGGCGCCACCACCGTCACCACCACCGTCACCGCCACAGCCGCTACCACCACTACCACCACCACCGTCACCGCCACAGCCGCTACCACCGCTACCGCCACCATCACCGCCATCACCGCCACCTCCACCCGTGCTATAACCGCCCACCCACCTTTGTCTCCCTCTCGCACAGCCACCGCCGCCACCACCGCCACCACCGCCGCCGCCGCCGCCGCCACCGCCGCCACCACCACCACCGCCGCCGCACCGCCGGCGCCGCTGGCGGCCGGCGACCGCCGTGAGTGCCAGCGTCTGGGCGGCAGCTGGAGCGGCGTGGACATCTCTGGCCACGCGTTCCTCCTCACCTACTGCCTCCTGCTGGGCGTGGAGGAGCTGCGCGGGGCCTTAGCCTTCACGGAGCGGCAGCGCGCCCACGGCGATGGCGGGGGTCGTCGTCGCGGCGACGGCGGGGGTCGTCGTCAGGACGACGGGAGTCGTTGTCAGGACGACGGGGGTCGTCGTCAGGACGACCGGGGTCGTCGTCAGGACGACGGCGGTCGTCGGGACGACGGCGGTCGTCAGGACGACGGGGGTCGTCAAGATGATGGGGGTCGTCGTCAGGACGACGGGGGTCGTTGTCAGGACGACGACGGTCGTCGGGACGACGGCGGTCGTCAGGACGACGGCGGTCGTCAGGACGACGGGGGTCGTCGTCAGGACGACGGGGGTCGTCGTCAGGACGACGGGGGTCGTCGTCGCGGCGACGGCAGCGAGACCCGATACCGGCCCACGTGCCGCCCGGCCATCCGACCGGCCGATGCACGGTGGCGCTCCTCCTCCGCCTCCTCCTCCGCCTCCTCCGCCGCCTCCTCCGCCGCCTCCGCGTGGCGAGGCCCGGCGGCGGGCGACGGCTGGCCGACCGTGGTGGTGGAGGCGCTGTGCTTGCCGGCGCTGCTGGCGCTGATGGCGCTGTGGGCGGCGGCGCTGGCGGGCACCTGCCTCTACCACCACGAGGCGTGGCACAAGGTGGCCGGAGCCGCCGTGGCGTACGCGGCCTGGCACGCCACCTACCGGCGCTGGTACCGGGGCTCGGGGTGGGTGGCGCCGCCCGGAGGTGGGGATGGGGCGCAGAGAGACTCGTAGAGATTCGCGGAGACTCGGAGAGACTCGTAGAGACTCACGGAGACTCGTAGAGATTCGCGGAGACTCGGAGAGACTCGTAGAGACTCACGGAGACTTGTAGAGACTCATAGAGATCCACGGAGACTCGGAGAGACTCGTAGAGACTCACGGAGACTTGTAGAGACTTATAGAGACTCGTAGAGACTCCTAGAGACTCGTAGAGACTCGTAGAGACTCACAGAGACTCAGCGACCCACAGAGACTCGTAGAGATCCACGGAGACTCGCAGAGACTCGTAGAGACCCACAGAGACTCGTAGAGACCCACGGAGACTCGTAGAGACTCATAGAGATCTACGGAGACTCGGAGAGACTCGTAGAGACTCACGGAGACTTGTCGAGACTTATAGAGACTCGTAGAGACTCCTAGAGACTCGTAGAGACTCGTAGAGACTCACAGAGACTCAGCGACCCACAGAGACTCGTAGAGACCCACGGAGACTCGCAGAGACTCGTAGAGACCCACAGAGACTCGTAGAGACCCACGGAGACTCGTAGAGACTCATAGAGATCTACGGAGACTCGGAGAGACTCGTAGAGACTCACGGAGACTTGTCGAGACTTATAGAGACTCGTAGAGACTCCTAGAGACTCGTAGAGACTCGTAGAGACTCGCAGAGACTCAGCGACCCACAGAGACTCGTAGAGACCCACAGAGACTCGGAGAGACCCACGGAGACTCATAGAGACTCGTAGAGACCCACGGAGACTCGCAGAGACTCGCGGAGACTCGCGGAGACTCGCAGAGACTCGTAGACACCCACGGAGACTCGTAGAGACTCGTAGACACATACGGAGACTCGTAGAGACTCGTAGAGACTCATAGAGACCCACGGAGACTCGGAGAGACTCGTAGAGACTCACGGAGACTTGTAGAGACTCATAGAGACTCGTAGAGACTCATAGAGACTCCTAGAGACTCGTAGACACTCACAGAGAATCAGTGACCCACAGAGACTCATAGAGACCCACGGAGACTCGCAGAGACTCGTAGAGACCCACGGAGACTAGCAGAGACTCACAGAGATTTGTAGAGACTCATAGAGACCCACAGAGACTCCTAGAGACCCACGGAGACTCGTAGAGACTCATAGAGACCCACGGAGACTCGTAGAGACTCATAGAGACTTACGGAGACTCGTAGAGACTCGTAGAGACTCACAGAGACTCACAGAGACTTGTAGAGACTCATAGAGACTCGTAGAGACCCACAGAGACCCACGGAGACTCACGGAGACTCACAGAGACTCACAGAGACTCGTAGAGACCCGCAGAGACTCGTAGAGACTCGGAGAGACTCGTAGAGACTCACGGAGACTCGTAGAGACTCGTAGAGACTCGTGGAGACTCGTAGAGACTCACAGAGACCCACAGAGACTCGCAGAGACTCGTAGAGACTCACAGAGACTCGTAAAGACCCACAGAGACTCATAGAGACCCACGGAGAATCGTAGAGACTCACAGACACCCACAGAGACTCATAAAGACCCACAGAGACCCACAGAGACTCACAGACACCCACAGAGACTCGTAGAGACTCACAGAGACTCACAGAGACTCATAGAGACCCACAGAGACTCACAGAGACTCATAGAGACCCACAGAGACTCACAGACACCCACAGAGACTCATAGAGACCACAGAGACCCACAGACACCCACAGAGACTCGTAGAGACTCACAGAGACTCAGGGAGACCCACAGAGACTCATAGAGACCCACAGAGACCCACAGAGACTCGTAGAGACCCACAGAGACCCACAGAGACTCACAGAGACTCACAGAGACTCATAGAGACCCACAGAGACTCACAGACACCCACAGAGACTCATAGAGATGCACAGAGACCCACAGACACCTACAGAGACTCGTAGAGACTCACAGAGACTCATGGAGACCCACAGAGACCCACAGAGACTCATAGAGAACCACAGAGACTTGTAGAGACCCACAGAGACTCATAGAAACCCACAGAGACTCGTAGAGACTCACAGAGACTCATAGAGACCCACAGAAACCCACAGAGACTCGTAGAGACTCACAGAGACTCGTAGAGACTCACAGAGACTCATGGAGACTCACGGAGACTCACAGAGACTCACAGAGACTCATAGAGACCCACAGAGACTCACAGACACCCACAGAGACTCATAGAGACCCACAGAGACCCACAGACACCCACAGAGACTCGTAGAGACTCACAGAGACTCAGGGAGACCCACAGAGACTCATAGAGACCCACAGAGACCCACAGAGACTCGTAGAGACCCACAGAGACCCACAGAGACTCACAGAGACTCATAGAGACCCACAGAGACTCACCGACACCCACAGAGACTCATAGAGACCCACAGAGACCCACAGACACCTACAGAGACTCGTAGAGACTCACAGAGACTCATGGAGACCCACAGAGACTCATAGAGACCCACAGAGACCCACAGAGACTCATAGAGACCCACAGAGACTCGTAGAGACCCACAGAGACTCATAGAGACCCACAGAGACTCGTAGAGACTCGTAGAGACTCACAGAGACTCATAGAGACCCACAGAAACCCACAGAGACTCGTAGAGACTCACAGAGACTCGTAGAGACTCACAGAGACTCATGGAGACTCACGGAGACTCACAGAGACTCACAGAGACTCACAGAGACACAGAGACACACAGAGACTCGTAGAGACTCATAGAGACCCACAGAGACCCACTGCCTCGTACTGAGTTGTATTATCGAAGCGTCACGTGACCAGGGATAGGAGTGTGGCCGCTCAGCTCCATTCTAGGACGTTGCATCTTTGCTGCCCGTTCTCACTTTGATGCGCTGAAGCTCTTGTTGTTGTTGTTGTGGTCGTCGGCCTTTAACTATTGATTGCCAATACTACACGTACTGATGGTTTACTGGGTGGGTGGGTGAGTGAGTGATTGGATGGGTGGGTGAGTGAGTGGGCGAGTGAGTGAGTGGGTGAGTGGGTGGGTGGGTGAGTGGGTGAGTGGATGAGTGGTTGAGTGAGTGGGTGGGTGGGTGAGTGGTTGAGTGAGTGGGTGGGTGAGTGGTTGAGTGAGTGGGTGGGTGAGTGAGTGAGTAAGTGAGTGGTTGAGTGAGTGGGTGGGTGAGTGGTTGAGTGAGTCGGTGGGTGAGTGAGTGGGTGGGTCAGTGAGTGAGTGGGTGAGTGGTTGAGTGAGTGGGTGGGTGGGTGGGTGGGTGAGTGAGTGGGTGGGTGAGTGGGTGAGTGAGTGGGTGGGTGAGTGAGTGGGTCAGTGGGTGAGTGAGTGAGTCGGTGGGTGAGTGAGTGGGTGAGTGAGTGGGTGAGTGAGTGGGTGGGTGAGTGGGTGGGTGAGTGGGTGAGTGAGTGAGTCGGTGGGTGAGTGAGTGGGTGAGTGAGTGGGTGAGTGAGTGGGTGGGTGAGTGAGTGGGTCAGTGGGTGAGTGAGTGAGTCGGTGGGTGAGTGAGTGGGTGAGTGAGTGGTTGAGTGAGTGGGTGGGTGAGTGGGTGGGTGAGTGGGTGGGTGAGTGAGTGAGTGAGTGGGTGAGTGAGTGGGTCAGTGGGTGAGTGAGTGAGTCGGTGGGTGAGTGAGTGGGTGAGTGAGTGGGTGGGTGAGTGGTTGAGTGAGTGGGTGGGTGAGTGGGTGGGTCAGTGGGTGAGTGAGTGAGTCGGTGGGTGAGTGAGTGGGTGGAGTGAGTGGTTGAGTGAGTGGGTGGGTGAGTGAGTGAGTAAGTGAGTGGGTGGGTGAGTGGTTGAGTGAGTGAGTGGGTGGGTGAGTGAGTGAGTAAGTGAGTGGGTGGGTGCGCCCGGCCGCCTTTGTCTTCTCCCCCAGCGGCGATGTTTACCGGCCGCACACCGCCGCGGCACGCAAAGGGGGAGGGGGAGCGGGTGGGCCCCAGGACCGGTGCAGCGGACCCTGGTGGCCTCCTCCTCCTCCTCCGGCCGTAGCGCTTGCGGGGCGGCCCCTCCGTACCCTCGCTGAACGGTGGCCGGCAGCCCCTGCGGCGGCGCTTGACGTTGTTGCAGCCTAGCGGCGAAGCTAGCGCCCGCCCGCGCCCGCCCACGCGCCCACGTGCGTGTCGGGGATTTTGCGTCCGTGGGTTGGATCGCGTGCGGTTCAGGCACCGCCACCGCCCCCCGCACCCCCCCCCCGGCACAGCCAATCGGTGCGTTCACGCGAACGGAGCGCGCCGATTGGCCGGCAGCACGGTTCGCGCGTTGCGAGGGCGAATCCGCTGCGGCGGATTCGCGAATCTCCGAGGACGACGTTCCGCCTCGCAAGTTGCAACCGGCTTCGTCAGGCGACGGGCGGAGTCGGAGACTTGTAGAGACTCGTAGAGACTCGTAGAGACTCGTAGAGACTCGTAGAGACTCGCGGAGAGTCGCAGAGACTCGTAGACACCCACGGAGACTCGTAGAGACTCGTAGACACCCACGGAGACTCGTAGAGACACGTAGACACCCACGGAGACTCGTAGAGACTCATAGAGACCCACGGAGACTCGCAGAGACTCGGGGAGACTCGCGGAGAGTCGCAGAGACTCGTAGACACCCACGGAGACTCGTAGAGACTCGTAGACACCCACGGAGACTCGTAGAGACTCATAGAGACCCACGGAGACTCGCAGAGACTCGGGGAGACTCGCGGAGAGTCGCAGAGACTCGTAGACACCCACGGAGACTCGTAGAGACTCGTAGACACCCACGGAGACTCGTAGAGACTCATAGAGACCCACGGAGACTCACAGAGACTCGGGGAGACTCGCGGAGAGTCGCAGAGACTCGTAGACACCCACGGAGACTCGTAGAGACTCGTAGACACCCACGGAGACTCGTAGAGACTCATAGAGACCCACGGAGACTCAGAGAGACTTGTAGAGACTCACGGAGACTCGCAGAGACTCGTAGAGACCCACGGAGAGTCGTAGAGAATCTTCCGGCCTCCGCCCGCTCCGCCCGCAGCTCTGACCGAACGTCG